TCCTAGTAGCTTTGTCTGCAGGGCCAGCTTTAGGCTTAAATTACAGCATAGCTATGATTTAAGTTTGCAGTATGGGTGTATCATCATGCTATAGGAATGTTTCTACTTGGAGGCAAGTGGTCATCTTGGCTTTGTTCTTTTGAGGGAGAAATATGAGGCTATGACAGTTTGTAATCTCATTAGTATTCCTTGTGAGTTCTAGGATTTTTTCGTATGTCTTTGTATAATACTTTCCAGAAATATGTATATACCTCTAACAAACTTGCTCAGCCTTCTGTGTTTTGAACTTTACAGATAAACTACTGGGTGAATTTCATGTTTATGTTTTTGAAGCTAGATAGATTAAAAATTTAGCACCTCAAAAGTTCCAAGAAATTTTTTTTGAGGGTTCTCAAATGAATTCAATATCCAGACAAACTTGCTGGGACACAGTATGACAAGCAGGCTTTAGGTGACCTTTTGAGAAACTAGTTGTTCTCCAACATCTGACTCTTGCAAATGACAGAAGTTGAAGTGAATCAATCAAATAAGCTTTCCTTTAGCCATAGATCATACATGTGGAATGTGATACGCTGAGAAGTATTCATAAAGACATTAAAAGGAGGGTTTGTGTAATATGTTCCCTCTATGAAAAGTTAACTGTTGAGACAGCCAACTCTGCAAACCAGAATTTTCCTATTAAGTCAGGACCCACTATTGTGACCTCTGAAATCAATTTAGCTGGCCAGAGGCTCTGAGCACTGTTTATCACACTGAACAAATAGATTTTGGGACTGCCACTCAAGTATTTGTGTTAACTTTTAACTAACGCAGACAATAAATAACCTCTTCCCTTGGACCTCTCTGTAGACTTCGCAAGTAATGAGGACCAAACATGAGGGAGAGCTTGTGTGGGCTGTAGCCCAAACATGTGGCATAAACTACCAGTGTAATTAAGTTGGACCCTAACTTGCGTGGTGCCCAGAGAACTTTGAACCCCCAGGAAGACTTTGCATCAAGTGAAGTGAGTGGAAATTGCAACTGTTTTGTTTGTTTTCTCCTATTTTAGACTGAAAACCCAATGTAATTTAATTCCCAAGCCATTCCACTGACCTCAGGGCTGAGGCGTGGAGAGGTCAAATGACTTTCCCTGGTCAAACAGGATACATGTGGCATAGGCATGAATAGAGTCCAAAGTACTGGTCCCATGTTATAACCGTAAGGCCATTCTTAGTGTGACAAAAACTGTTCTATTTTAAGCAGATCAATCATTTGTCCAAGTTGTCATTATGGCTCAACTTTATGAAATACTGTAATGGTGGCAGAGAAAACAAACTCCAGGTAGTTGTAGTAAAAAGCTATGAATATGTCAATTGAGATCCGATTCTGTAATTCCCTGCTGAAATTCAGAGAAACGTAGTTCATGTAGCACATGGTGAAGTCTCTTCACAGCAGTTCTGCAGCTTTGTATTTTAGAAATATTTCCTAACGATCTGTATTTCTTGGTAATTCTGTTTTCTGTCCCAGGACCTGAAAGTTACTAGCACCAAGTGCCAGCCTGTGATGGGTCCTATGAAGTCGTTTAGTAATTAACGTCTGTTTTACAGAAGGGGACAGGAAACGAAACCTCCTGGTCAAGCGTTCTGAAACCTTTTTGTTTAGAATTAAGCAACTATTTTCATAATTAAGCAACTGAATCAAGGAGGCTCAGTTTCTAGTTGTGACCTCAGCAAACAGGAACAGACTCCAGTCAAACAAGTGCTGAGCGTACACTTTACACAGGCTGTTTACTATTTAAAAAACAAAAACAAAAGACAGGATTAAGTCTAAACCTGGTTATATTCATCCATATGCCATACAACACTGTTCTGTAACCTGTGGCTGCTCCCAGATCGTATTGCCAGGCCTCTAACCACACTTTCCTGTTTATTGAAAAATATTTTCCTCGCTCTGTCTCCTTTTTGCAACCCCGGACCAGCAGGGACTGAGCCAGTGAACTGCACCAAACCTCCCTTAACCTTTCTAGCAGCTGGCCTGACAGCCAAGAGGAAACTGCTGGCAAAAAGTCTTGTTTTCTGTACTGAGCCTCTGTTTGCAGACAGGTTCATGATAGTCTTTCCAGCTTGGAAATTAGGCCATTTGTCAAAGATCATACAGGAAATCAGTGACAGAATAAGGAATAGAATTAGATTTCTTCACTTTCAAGGCCTAGACTTGAACTGCAAGACAGTTCTGACTGTGAAAGTTCATTAATAAATAAAAAACAAATTAATGTATTTGAGACTGTGTGTGTTTCAAGAACACAAAGAAACATCCCTGCTGAATGATGGTTAAAGGTTATCCCAGAAGAAAAAAATCTGGGTCCTTACTGATGTAAACCAGCATAACTCCGCTGACAATCCCCTACTGCTTATCTTCTGCAGGGCAAGGCTTAACACCATGAGTCCTGTTATAGAAGCGCTTCATATATGTGGATGTCAGAGGTAAAAGTTTCTGGGCTTTGCAAATGTAATTGTCAGTCTTTGCTGAGCCCTAGCCATAGAGTCTAGTTTCAGCATCGTGCACTGGGACCAATGGTAAGCAATGTTCCTCCTGCTTTTTTGTCCCCACTGCTAGAGAGTTACTGCATTGGAAGGCTATGAGTTAGAGATAAGGAAAAATACAAGCTTAGAAATATAATTGCATTCTGAAGGTGTGCTCTTTCAATGGACGAGTTTTAAAGTACAGGAGGTTTGGTAAATATTTGGTATTTATTTAGGTATGTTTTCTTTCTCCTGCTGTACATCATCTTTGAAATTCTAAATATAAAATTAACATTGCTGGCAGTATTGTTTGTTAGGCAATAATGTTTGTTATTGTCATTATGGTTTTTTAGCACCATTAGGAAAATAAAAAGGTTTGGAAGAAAATGTTTGAATCCAAGTATTGTTGTGTTGTGCTAGCTCTTGAGAAACTTAAAAGCAAAATTGATTAGCAACTGGAATACAGGATGTCAATCAGCAAGAGTCTGAAAATTTGGATTTTTTTTTGTTTAATTGCATAAATTAGATTTGAAGGTATAGTTCTGTATATAGGTAAAGACACTAAAAAATCCAATTATTAACCTGTCATCTGAAACTGTCCAAAGGTAATGTTGTTCCAGATGTTAGTGGTACCACTCCTTGTTTGTACTATTTCTCAGCAGCTGTTAAGATATTTGAAAAAATGACTCAGAGGGGTGGTACTGGTATTTGGTGCAGAATTTACCCCCAAGGGGCATGTAATTACATAAATGCAGCCCAGTAAGTGTAATTTTATCAGGACAGCAAACCAAATAACATTCCTTCTGACTGATGTAAATTACAAGGGACAAATGTTATCATAGCCTCTTGACAGAACAGGCTGTATTGACTCTTATTACAGATTTTTTTTTTATCAAGAGATAGAAAATTACACAGCTTTTTTTGTTCCCCTTGTCTATCCACCTATGGATGAGAAATCTAATCCCGCTAATGTGTGTGCACATGTGTAGCTTCACTTGTGTGAGTAATCCTTTCAAACTAAGTGAACTACTTTTTTGGAGGAAAGGTATGTATGTGAATACAAGCTTGCAGATGTGGTTCTGCAGGCAGCGTGCTCTGGAGACGCTGCTCCTGTTTTCCTTAGCATGCTAAAATTAATGGAATTACAGGAATGCAGGGCTGGTTTCCGAAAGAGTAGGCCGAATTTCAGTTTCTGAATGGAGTTAGCGCTCAGATGTGTACTGCTGAGCTCATCCATAGTACACCTAATGGGCTGGTCGTATCCTGGTCTCAGGGACAGGTTTTTAGTGCAGCCGAGTCCAGCCAGACAATATAGCTTTAAATGATAACAGAATTTAGTAGAATATTTGTTTTGACCATGGTGAATACTTCGGTCAGACTGTGGCCATCTGTGCTGCAGCTTTGCCTAGCTTTGCCTGTACTATGGAATGGACACGTGACTTCTGAGTGCTTTTTCCTGCTCAAACTCTGTTTGCTATCTGTTTTCCCCATTCATTTCTTTTTTTCTGGATTTTTCCTTTGGTTTATATATCCCCCCTGCCCCCTTCCCTCCCTCCCACACTCTTCCTTTGGAGTTCTAGAAGAAAATTCCTATGTGAAAAATCATGTTGTACTTGTAAGTTCCAGAAGCTTTTTCAACAGGAGAAAACTGAGACTGTCATTCTGTCTTAAAAAAAGAAAAAAGGGGACACATATATTTTCATCTATAGCTTTTACAGTGTGTCTTACTCTCCTGGGAAGCTTTATTTTCTTTCATTTGTTACCTATTTCTCAGCTCACTAGTGGAAGAATACCACAATTGTATGTATTGTCCCTGAAATATGTTCTGTATGTTTCCTTCTCTATATCCTTTGTTGCGTTAAGGAAATCTAATACATTGAATGTGTCTGAAAATCAGCATTCCTTGATACAAAGATAGATACATGATAGAGAGGAATAAACCCATGAACTTTCCGTTTCTGGAGAAAACACTGTCTATGGTTTTGTTAACTGTAATTTGAGGTGTGGGTGGGTGGGTGGTAATTTTATAAAAAATGGCTTCCTGGCATTTTAACTGCACTTTTTTGCCTACATAGATGCCTGGTGGTTCTCTGATCCATAAAACTTGCTTCATATAGGAACAGAGCAGTAAAGTGAAATCCTACTAGAAAAGAATAGAAAAATCACACTTCAGTAAAACTTTGCATCTGGTCTCCCAGAAATTTATCAGTGATGTTGTGCTCAGTGCTCTCTCTTAAGAAATAAATGCAAGGAAAACAGTTGCTGAAGATTTCAAGTGTTGCCTTGATTTGAGCGTTTCTTGAAATGCCTGTGACCAAAATACTCCACAAGCTTTGTGCTAGCAACTGACAGCTAAAAAGTGGTAGATATGTGAAACTAAGACAATGTTTTGAGTTTTTTTTATGACCAAGAACTTAAAGAAATTGTAGGTTACTATTTGCAGTGCAGTAAAACACTTCTCCTTTGACTGTTCCATTTCTTTTCTTCCCCAGAAAGCAACCGTGCAACATGACGTTTGAAGATTTTGAGAACTACTCTTATTTCTACGACCTGTCCGAGGAAGATGAATCACCCCAGTCCTCCCTCAGCATTGCCCATATGATTTCTCTTTCCTTTTACAGTGTGGCATTTCTGCTGGGGGTGCCAGGTAATGCCATCGTCATCTGGTTTATGGGCTTTAAGTGGGATAAATCTGTTTCCACACTCTGGTTCCTCAATCTGGCCATTGCAGATTTAATTTTTGTTCTCTTCCTGCCCCTCTATATTACATACGTGGCAATGGGCTTCCACTGGCCTTTTGGGAAGTGGCTCTGCAAAATGAACTCATTCATTGCACTACTTAATATGTTTGCTAGTGTTTTCTTCCTGACATTCATCAGCCTTGACCGCTATGTCCGCCTAGTCCACCCAGTATTTTCCTACAAGTATCGGACTGTAAGGAACACTCTCATTCTTAGTGGGCTCATTTGGATGTCAGCTGCAATTATTGGTGGCCCTGCCTTATACTTTAGAGACACAGCTACAGTTCTCAACAATGTCACCATTTGCTACAACAACTTCCATCTGCATGACAGAGAACTTATCGTGCTGACACATCACATTCTCATTTGGGTGAGGCTTGCATTCGGTTACCTCTTTCCTCTAGTGACCATGGTCATTTGCTACTCATTGCTGATTGTCAAAGTGAAGAGGAGAACTGTATTGACTTCCAGCAGGCTTTTCTGGACCATCATTGCTGTAGTTGTAGCTTTTTTTGTTTGCTGGACACCATATCACATATTCAGCATTGTGGAGCTGTCTGCTCACCATGACGAAAACTTGCATGACTTACTGCAGGATGGCATTCCCCTCTCCACTGGCCTTGGTTTCATCAACAGTTGCCTCAATCCAATCCTCTATGTTCTGATTAGCAAAAAGTTCCAGGCCCAGGTCAAGACAACGGTCTCTGAGGTGCTAAAATTGGCACTGTGGGAGGTGAGCCGCTCGGGAACTGTCAGCGAGCAGCTGTGGAGCTCGGACAACACCCATGCGCCTGTGCACTGTTGTGAAACTGCTCAGTGACTGCTCTTGTCACCATCCCTCTCCAAAACAGCTGACAGGAGATTTGGAGGTGTTCTTGACTTCACATCTGCCAGTCAGATGTGCATCTTTGCATATACAGTTTTATGTAAACAGCTGGCTTAATTGCACTTGCTGCTTTCCTTGAAAGGTTTTTAAAGAACACGTCATTTGGGTGTGGCATACTTGCAGTGCACACACACAGCCTGAACTGAAAGTTGTCAGCATAAGTGGAATTGCTCTAACTGGGTTTTTGATCAGGAATGTTGTTGTAATCCTGTTGTTTTGTTGTGGTTCCATACCTCATTGATATCAAAAGAGCACATAATAAAAATATTCCTCCTTGTCGTCACTGATAATGCTCCTGATCAAGTCTTTTTCATCCAAGAGGTCGTGGCCACATATCAATGGATCATGAGTCTCCTGAGCATCTAGTATTGCCTTAAGTAGGAATCACCTGGCTACATCCCAGCTAAGTGAAGCTATCGGTGGCTCTACTCTGCAGTTGGAGAAGAATTCCAAGACAGAGAACACTGAATTGCTGCCTTCTCTTGTCAAAAAAGAGAAGTATGGAAATAAAATCTGTTTTCTCCCAGTGCTCTTTTTTTATACTCAAAATTAAGACAGGAGAGCCTGTGTTTTCTGGTCACTTATTCTTGTGCTTTTAGCACCAGTTGGGTGCAAAATACTGAGCAGATGTTTCATATTGGGCTCATTTGAAATGTACAAAGAACTAGTGAAAATGTTTCTTACAGAAGCTGAGATTAAAGGCCCCTGCCACACTTGTTCTTTTTCTATGTTTAAACTTCCAGGCTCAAAGAGGTTTACAACTATCAGTTGCTCTTTATTGCTCTGTCAAACAAAAAGAAACAAATAATATTTTGTTTGCCTTAATGCCAATCTTTGAAAAATGGGTGGAGTGAATTCAAGAATATTCTGTTATGGGTCTGTAGCCAAATTCGGATTTCTTTGCCAAATGAGAGGCAAGACAGTACATCCAGGAAATGGAGTCCACTCCCATAAGAAAGATGAAGTAGTCCCAGTTATGCTGTATTCTGTTCCAACTTGTTGCTTGCTGTAGAATCACACATGCACCAATGCAAAAAGATATGCTAATAGAATGGACCAATTTCTGATGCAATACTACTTAATTAAAAAGTTGAATGTGGGATAAAACTCCACTAAAAGTAAAAGCATAAAGCTTTGGGTAAATTTGAAACAGTTTTTCCTTGTTATTGGCCTAGGTATATAGAATAAAACTGCCTTTCAGATAATCTACCTAGTTTCTATGGCCTGCCAATACACATAAGTAGCATTTATACTATAATTGAGGCCTTATATGTAAATATATTTGCTTTTGTATAAAATATATACATGCATGTATGAGCACATCCAGTATTGGTAGCTGTACAAATAGAAACAGCCTGACTGTGGTCTGTGACTCTTTCTTTGGGTTCCAGTTTCAGAGTTTGGGAGAGTCAGGCAGGGATCAGTGGAATTTCAGTGTATTTCAACTTTGGGCTGGAAAGTTGGTAAGCAGTACTCTTCCTTTGAGTCATTTGCTGCCTGGTACATAGTGACTCATCATAATATTTTGGCACCGTGCTGCTGAATGTGCCTAAATCAAACATTTTTCAGTTTTTCTTCACATATTCCCTGTCATCTTTCTAAGAATGATGTATTAGTACTACTCTCCTGACTGTACTCTAAGTGAAGTAATAAAATTTTGTTGTTTCCAAAGAGGGTGTTCATTTGCTTTTCTCGGCACCAAAATGTCCATTCTTAGAACAGCTCCTTCCCAAAGATTTTAGAAGATGAAAGCAAGCCCTGACCCTTTCTACTACAGGAATTAAGGTTTATGTCAGCTTTCTTCTTGCATGTCAGCTATGTGAGCACACATATTGCTATATAAAGAAACTGATTTTTCAAATGGGGGAACATGCATGTGCTGTCCTACATAATCAGAAATCGTCCCCTGAAGTAGACAACAGAGATACAGAACAGAATTGAGTAAGGCCAAAGTCAGCCCTGGTCTCTGGAATTAAGTGGATTAACAATTTTGCGATGTAACTACTACCTCATTCACACCAAGATCAGTTACAGAATTATCTCCAAAGAATTTCTGCAAGAGTAACAGAAGATACCTAAATGAAACAGGTAACGCTCTAAGTTTCTGTTTCCAAAGAGTGTCCAAAACAATACCAACAGTTCTACGCTGCTTGGACTGAGGAACGCTCATTCAACCCACCGCAATGGAAAAAAAGCCAGATGAAGGGGATCTATCTTATGCTAAAAGATACTATAGGAAAGCACTTCATAGGAAATAGCTCTACAATCAACCATTCATTCAAGAATAATAGCTATTGACACATTTCATAATAGCCAGGTTCTGATTACTTTTACCTGCTTCCTGAACAGTTTGTACTTCTGAAGGTTGTTACGTAGATTAGTTTGTAACCAATATTTTCTTGAAACTATTTTCCCTGTATTCCTAGATGTCATGTATTGAAGTTACGGAACTTTCTGTTGATCTTTCTGTTAACGGGGTGCAGTTGGGATAGAAGTGGCTGGTTTACTCCAAGATGCTGTTTTTTCATGGGCACAATGACACAGTAGTACACCAGCACATACCCAAATACTACGCAAAAACCCCTGACGTAGATATATGTGGATTCTGCAGAATTCTCTTGTCCGCATGCCTATCTATTTTGTAACTGGGGAGACTGTGCTCTCCAGCTTTTTTTGTTTTGTTCCTGTGCAGCAAGTTTCCTTCTAACATTACAGAAAAAAACCCACAAAGGAAATCCCAACAACTGAAGGGTTTGTACATGCATGCTGAGCATAAATGAAACACACACAAAAATCCAGTCTGGCAGGTCAGATGGATGGCTCATAGGGCTGTATTTTAGTAAAGTTACAGTCTATAAATCAAACCATTTTAGCCACTTAAAGCTTTAATTTCAAGGTCAAGGAAAGAGTTTAAAGGTAAGAAGCACATTGAATGGGAGGTCAGAAACAGCCAAGGATAATAAAAATTACATTTTTGTTGCAGAATTTTTTTTTTCCCCGATGTGGCATTTGCTAATTTCTTGCTTTTAACAGCACCATGACAGAATTGCTGAAACTAAGCTACATGATTTAGCAGAAGCCACAGCTAGAGAATTGCCACAGAAATGGTACTGTGCATTAATTATACACAGGATGAAGCTAGCCCGTTAGCAGTTAAGTTTACGGAAGGTGGGAATGAAGCCTGTAATTATACTTACTTTCAGTTCTTTAATCATGCTTTAAAGCTCTGGCGGATGAATTAGAAAACAAAGCTCGTCCATAATCTGAAGTTGGCAGACCTTTAAACAAAGAGAAACAGGACCTGCTGTGCCAGATAACCACACACAGATGCTCTGTGAAAAAAGAACAAGAAGAGTTATTTTAGCTGCTGCTGTCACGCTTCGGCACTGAGCATCTTCATCTCAGTGACCAATGTGGCACATAGAAAGCTTCCATTTCATGGTCACAATAAATTCTCTATCTCAGTCCAACAGAAGACCTAGAAGTATGAATTTGTCTAGAAGCTTTGCAGCTTTTACATTTTGTATCGTTCCTGTGGAGTTTTTGGAAAATTAGTTCCGAGTGGTTTCTAGATTGATTTTGATTTTTTTTTTTAAAGATTGAAGAACCTGTCTGGAGCCAAGTAAGCAGCTCAAACTGGCCTTAGTTATGCTACTTCATCTTTGCATTTTAATTGAACACCCACTTTTTCTGTCGTTTTGAGCCTGGAACACGCTTTAAGTTCTTTATCTGTGTAGATGACCTACCCATGCTAGCTGCAGCCCGAGGTCCCCACAGCCCCCTGCTCCCCATGCCACGGGCAGCACAGCTGAGCACCCGGGATCCCTGCAGAAGGCGGGCGCCTGCTGCCCCCTTGCCGCCCTCCAGCTCAGAGCAGCCTCCCAGCAGCCAGCCCACGCTCTTGGAGGCACAGGGCGCACAAGGACCTTGGAATATGAAAGCATGGTCTTTATCCACACTGTTATTTGCTGTACTGATTACGAAGTGCCAGAAAAGATGTGAAATTTGAAGTAATTTCACTGCTAATGTCTTCAGATCTTGGAGGAAGACAGCTCAAGTCCACACGAGAGGGGGTGAGAAGATAACCATGGTAGTCTCAGGCCAGATAAAGCATTTCACTGTATGCCTTGCCATCTCTCCTACATTGCAGACCCCCCTGTTCCTTCTAACTTATCCTCACCTCCACTCCCTCAGTATACCAGAGTTCTACCTTTCAACAAAAGCCATGGTCTATTTGTTTAGTAGCCACCCATATCAAACAAAAGGAATTTATGCTACTGTTTAACTGCTAAAAAAAGTTACTTGCCCTTTGCCTGAGCCCTGTGCTTTTCCCTCAGTCATCCCTCCTTCCAGAGGAATTACAGGTTTCAAAAAATGCAACTTACTCCAAAACAGAGCAAAGGGCATTTCAGATTTTTAAAGCCATGTAAATGTTAAATCTGGATTGATGGTAAATGCAAATTTTCTATTTCCTCTGCTCAAGCTCTTGGGCACTGCAGTAGGGTATTGGAGCAACCCTGAAATTCAGTTTTAGCTTCTACCTTAGCCATCAACCAAATTTTACATTTATGAGTTGGATTACACCATGACTTTGAATTAACCACAGACACAGCCCAATTTTTGCAATTGCATTTATTCTAGATATACCAAGACTTAAATCTTATTGAAAGCAGCTACATCCATTGATTGTACATAATCTTCAAAAGCTGTTATTCTCTCTTCCAGCATATCTGTTCCAACTTTATCATCTTCAACAACGCACTGGATCTGAAGCTTTTTGATACCATAGCCAACTGGTACTAGCTTGGCTGCAAAGAAAAAAAAAAAAAGGAAGGAAAAAAGAAGCATTTAGTACTCCTTGATTGGTGGAATCCCTTAAAAATGCAAATCTAAGATTGACATGACCAAAGTAGTCTGGAGGAATACATAAAAACTGTAATTTGCTCCATATCATAGACCGCCTAATCAACAACACAGCATTCCTTACAAGGTGGTCAAAAAGGGTTTGTTGTGGTTCCTGCCCTGCCCCGCCCCCCTCCAAACCAGTGATGTGGGTGTTTGCTTGCTGCGTCAGGAACTGTACAGGGAGATGCAGGATAGCAGAGCCAAAGTTTTAAAGCTTTTAAAACCTGTGTTTGAACCTTAACCTGGCTGCTGCACTAATACACCTTTTTGACTATTTCAAGATATTGAAGTACCCTAGTGGTGTAATTCCCACACTGTTTTAGGCTACCCACAATTTCAGAGATCAGCAAACAGTAACCACAAGTCTACCTATTCATACACTATCCTAAGAGACCGTGCTATCTCCCCCCTCCCTGCTTTGAAATTTTCTACTTACAAGATCCCCAGACCAAGCCATCTGCCTGAATGCTTCGAACACACTCCTCTAGTTTGGCCATGTCTGTCTCATCATCCCAAGGTTTCACATCAAGCAAGATTGATGACTTGGCAACAACAGCTGGTTCTGGGGGGAAGAAAATCACCATTAAAAGCTAGGAAATTTTCAGAAACTCATGAATATACTTGCAAGCTAGCTTTACCAGAACAACTTTTACAATTTTATCAACAAGAACCTCCTCACATAGCTGTGACAGGCCTCTTGTACCAACATACATTCCAAAAGTATAAGCTATGCATATCCCAACATTCATGATGTAGATACATACGTTCTTGAGAAACAGTCGCATAAGAAAACACAGATTAAGAAGCCAACATTGTTTGTTACATAGGAAGTCCTTTTCAGAGGATCTGAGAAGGAGCTTAATGCTGTGTAACAGTTTATTTTCCACAGAGGGAATACTGCAACTGCTACAGTTCTGAACAGTTCCAGACCAGTAGCTGTGGAGGGACTTGCATATTGCAGCCTTTTCTCTAAACTTTTGAAGAAAAACTAGAGTTCTCTCTTTTTATATAAGCAAGCTCAGCCTCTGGGTAAGACAAACAAGAGTGTATTAAGCAGGACAAAAGCTACGTTGAAGTTCCCATTTGCTGTGGGAAAGGCAAAGCTCACAGGCAATTCAAGTGAAGCTAATTACTCCTCACTCCAGTCAAGTTTATCTGTTACAGTTAACTACTGTTTCTCACCATCCTGTTCAAGTGCATGAAAATTAACCCAAGCATGAAAGATTAATAAATCCTTGACTGACATACTTTTGGACTTCTTTGATTCATATTGGGCCAGACGTTCTTCCCTCAGTTTCTTTGCTTCTTCACTTTCCTGAAAGAGAAATCTAAAGTTACAGAAAAGCAACAACACCCTGCATCTTTAAAGCATTACCGAATTGACTGGCATCTACTCAGGCAAAAACAAATCATCACAACTGTCAGCCGAAAGATGGTGATTTTTTGTTTTACTCATCATGTAACCAGTCAAAATTAAAGTAGACAGTCCACCCCATTCCAAACACATTCCTTTCTAACTCTCAAGTTTTTTACCTTCCAAGCTTTTCTGTTCTGCAAAGACAGATGAATTTGAGAATTCAGAGTAGGATCTGGTATCAAGGTCATAAATCCAAGTAACTTAAACTACTTAAGGCAAAAATCCACATACCTGAGTATTTCTAAAAAACCCAAATATAATACAAAAAGGTTGCAAGTACCTCCTCATCATCAGATCCAAAAAGATCAATGTCATCATCATCTTTGCTATCTGTGGCTGCACCTGTCGTGTCCTCAACATCAGCAGGACCATATTTCCCCAAAGCCTTCTTTACTCCTGGCAAGCTGAAAGAAAACAGCAGATATTAGGAACCTATTCAAATATCAATACAAATAATGCCAATTTGTCAAGGAGCCTACAAGAGCATTCACAGTAAAAATGCTGTGCTAAAAAAAAAAAAAAAATCTAATTCTGCTACTTGGAAACAGAACCTCCCCAAAGACAATCCTCTATGCTCCTAACATGCTAGTTGAGACTCCAGCAAATCCCATATTCAAAGATTGTTCATCTAAGCTGACCTGATCCTGCCCAACATGGCGGCTCCACCTAAGCATACAGATAGAAAAAGCTTTCTTACTGGAATAATTTATCTGCATTATGTTCTGTGTAAGAAGAATTACCAACTTCTTGTTCCTGCTTCCTTAAGAATATTTTCATTTGTTTAAAAACTAATAGTGACAGAAAGCACACTATTGCAAGGTAACTGATTTCAGTGAATGCTTTACTCTGGAAGCTAGCCCTCAACAGCACGTGCGGGACCAGAACCCCCTGAATTACCTTCGCCTATAGCTCACATAGTTCTGTAGTCTTAGAATAAACTCATAGTTTTATTGTTAATGTGAACTGCTGTTATAAGAGTCATAAAACTAGCTTTAGTTTTCAGGAACTAGAAGTAGTTTCCGGACTGCGACTTCCAGAGAGTGAAGCAACTTTATAATCTCAGTCCCCTTTAGAATTATAAAAGCTTCGGAAACAGACTGGTGACTGAGCCACCCAACTTTACAAGAGTTCCCTCCAAACAGGACTGAGGCACATAGAGGAGGCAGTGTAGCAATACTGACACTACCTATGCTGTACCTTTTTAGAGAGGCCTGCAGTCTCCATGGATGTCAATACAGCACCTTTCATGAACACTAAAATCACTAAAAAAGAAAAAAGATAACATTTGCTTTCACATTTCCCCTTCTTTATATATGCTTCTGCATTGCAAATCATTGATTTTGCTTTATCTGCCAGGACTAAAAACCTGAACGAACCACTTTCCTTATCTGTCATCTACGTACTGTATATTTATCTTTAAAAACCCCTGTAATGCTTTCTAATCCATTTTGGTGTTGCCTTTATGGGGTTGATTGCTGGTAAGTAATTACCAGCTTTCAGCAGTTATCTGTGTAGATGGCAGCAACAAAATTCCAGCCTTTCTTATAAGCTTTAGCAGAAATCTCAGCAACTGAACAGACACAGAATCAGGTTGCCTAAATTCTAAGTGAGAAGTGTAATGCACTGACGGAGGAAGTGTGCTCTGCTTCTAGAGCTGTTCCTGTTCCAAAAGCAATACAAAAAGCCACGTGGTACCAGTGAAAAACACTGTGTTCAAACTAGAAAAAACAAATGCAACACTTCGTAGGCCAGTTCGCACATATATTGCAGCTTTGCAGTTTAACCATACCTTGCCTTTTGCTTTTCATACGACTTAATATGATTGTACCACCGAAGAGCATGAAACAAGTCTGCAGGAGGTGGGGCAGCGATTGCTTCAAAGACTGCTATATCAGCCTGAGAAGGGACGTACCTGCGGAGAACAAGCCGAAGTTAACCCCCTTCCT